AGGAGCTGAGATGGTTGAGGGTGCAGATGTCTGAGAACCGGAGGGAGAATGTTTCAGGGCCCCCGTCCAAGGCTGGGCAGGAGGCGTGTGGGAGGCAGGCCAGGCTGGGCACGTGATCAGGCCCTGGCCGGTGCCCTCACCCCAGATCCACTACTCCCTGCCCCCCGCCGCCTGTGCTGCAGGTGATGGATGAGGCCGACCGGCTGTTGGAACAGGGCTGCACTGACTTCACTGCGGACCTGGAGACCATCCTGGCAGCCGTGCCCACTCGCAGACAGACGCTGCTCTTCAGCGCCACACTGACTGACACGCTCAGAGAGCTTCAGGGTCTGGCCACCAACCAGCCCTTCTTCTGGGAGGCTCAGGCCCCGTGAGTCCACAGCCAGGTTCCAGGGGGCAGGGCAGGCAAGGCATAGGGTTGGGGGTCACACTCAGCAGAGGTTATTGCCCACGGATGGTGTGGGGCATTGGCTCCGTTCGGCAGTAGGGGAAACGGAGTCCACCCATCCCCAGGGTGCGTACGGTGGAACAGCTGGACCAGCGCTACCTGTTGGTGCCTGAGAAGGTCAAGGATGCCTATCTGGTCCACCTGATTCAGAACTTCCAGGATGAGCACGAGGACTGGTCCATCATCATCTTCACCAACACGTGCAAGTGAGCATGGGCAGGTCTGCCCCTCTCCTCCCCCCAGATCTCCTCCCATAGCTCTTTCTGAAGGCCCGAGAGGTATGAGGCACACAGCCCGTCTTGGCACTCCAGGGCCTCTGCTCAGACCAGAGATTTCAGAGGATTTGCTCAAGGAGGCCCAGAGAGGTCAAGCAGTTTGCCGAGATCTCCCCTCGTGAAGGTGGAGCCAGGATTTAGGGCTTCTCAGACCTGCTCTTAACCAAAAGGTCTAGGGGCCTCTGGCCCTCCCCGGAAAACCCCTGCAGCGGCTGGGAAGGCCTTGGAGCAGCCTCTCCTCTGTGTCTAGGGGTGTCACTAAGGCCTGGCATATCAGCTCCAGTACCCAGGGCTGTCCTCTCTACAGTCACAGAGGCCTTCAGAATCCTTTGAAGCTCCTGGGGAGATTGTCAGGAGGCTGTAGGCTATTCAAGCATGAGCCAGGGTAGATAACGCAGTCTACATGACATCGAGGAGACCTCCTAATTGGCTGCTGCCCTCCAAGAATGTGTTGGCTACCAGAAAAGTCTGGATGTAGGGCCGGCTCTCATTGGTTTAGGCCAGGGAAGGGGTCGGCAGAGAGGACGTCAGCAGGCAGGATACCCCTCACCCCTGCTTCTCTTTTACCAGCCGTGCAGAGTCACCTACTTGTGGTCTTGGGGGTGCTGGGGCAAGAGTGCCTTCCCGAGGCCCTGGCTCTGCAGGGGCTGACAGTGTGTCTTTCCCACCAGGACCTGCCAGATCCTGTGCATGATGCTGCGTAAATTCAACTTCCCCACCGTGGCTCTGCATTCCATGATGAAACAGGTGTGGGATCAGGCCGCCCCTGAGACCCCCACCCCACCCCCAGCCTTGCCCTGGAGACTCGTCCCAGCCTCAGGGCCTTTGCCCAGGCTCTTCCTTCTGCCTAGAATACTTCCTGCCACCCTTTTGCCTCGGTGTGGCCTTCTCATGGGTGAGCCCTGTGAGGGTGGGACTGTCCTAGACTCCACCCTGTCCCAGGCCTCACACAGTAAGTCCTCAAACGCTTGCTGAGATGCTGCCTGACCCCCAGTTCTCTCCCCAACTTGGCACCAGAAAGAACGCTTTGCTGCCCTGGCCAAATTCAAGTCCAGCATCTATAGGATCCTGATTGCAACAGACGTGGCCTCCCGGTGAGTGGCCCCAGGGTCTTCCTTCCCATGTGCAGGCCCAGTGACACCCCCACAGAGGGACCAGAGAGAGGGCTGACCTTGGGCAAGAACTGGGGCAGCCCCAACTTCACAGCTGTGTGACCTTGGGTGAGTCCCCATCTTGGTTTCCACGTGTGGACAGGGGCCTGGACATTCCCACAGTGCAAGTGGTTATCAACCACAACACCCCCGGGCTCCCGAAGATCTATATACACCGCGTCGGGCGGACAGCCCGTGCAGGTAAGTGGACGGGGCGGGGTGGCCCTTGGACAACTGTCCTTCCAACCTGCCCACACCATAAGAAACCAAAGTCACGGGCTGGTCGAGAAGATGTGGGGATATAGCCTGCAGGTGAGAGGCAGTGCTTAAAAGTTGGAGGAATCATCCTTTCAAAAGCAAAGGCAGGGAGTGCTCTGGCTTACGAGATTCTCCCCTGTTCTGTGGCCCCGGGCAGGTCATATCAGCTCTCTGGGCCCACTTCCTCCTCAAACGACAGGTAACACGAATGCTGCTCCAAAGGTCACGGGCCTCATCAGCTGTCAGTGCTGTTCCAGCACCAGTCACCCTCACAGAAATGAGGAATAGAGAAACTAGCGTGCACAGATCTGGGCCAAGGCCCGTCGAGGCTTATTGCCGACATAACTCCCTGGTAGCCACGCCCCAGAGGGAAGTCAGCCATATCACCGGCCCCCGTGTAAAGCCAGCCTGACAGGAGAGCTGCCTCTCCTGCCGTCTCCTCTGGGATGGACTTGCCCTCACCAGCTCACCAAGCTCTTAACTCTGTTCCCATCAAGAGGAGCCCTGAGCTGCCTAGTGGTCAGAACTTGTCTTTCTTGGCCCCTAGCACGCAGCAGGTAACTATGGCACGTCCTTGCAGGGCGGCAAGGACAGGCCATCACACTGGTGACGCAGTATGACATCCACCTGGTACATGCCATCGAGGAGCAGATCAGTGAGTAGGGGGATGGGAGTGGGGGAGGCGGGTGCCTCTGGGCAAGATGCCCACTCACCCCCTCAGACACCTGCTAAGCTGCTCACGTGAGCAGGCTTAAACGGCACTTTCCTTTCTATGCAATCCCAAATGAAGGCTTTTAGCCCAGTTATCAAAACAGAAGCTTCCCACAGTGGTCCTCAGCAGCTGAAAGCCACATCCGGTGGGAAGGGACTTAGGTTTCTCAGACTGGGGTGCATGGATGGTCCCTGTGGATGAGTCGGAGGCCCCAGGCACCACCTCTCTTCCCCCACTGGGACGATTTAATTTGTAGCCCAGACCAAGAAATCTATAATCACTGCACAGACTGTCCTAAAACTCAGAAATCTCTGCCCTTTAGAGGACAGTGTTTAAGTCACATCTACACCCAACATGAGGCTCAAACTCAGGACCCCCAAGATCAGGAGTCACACACTCTTCCGACCGAGCCAGCCAGGCAGGCACTCCTAAAGGACAGTGTTTTTAAAGAAAATACTTCCAGTCAAGTTCCTAGTGCCGCTGACAACAAAAAAGAACAGTCTGTCTATCTTCCTTTGGTCTACCATCCCCGTTCCTGCTCGCCTGACCCTTACCTGACATGACCTAGTCTTGCATGCCCCACTGCATGAGGAGCTCACTCCAAAGCCAGAATCCCTCCCCCTGTCACGTCTGCCCTCTCCGCCCCTACAGAGAAGAAGCTGGAGGAGTTCTCGGTGGAGGAGGCCAAGGTGCTGCAGATCCTTACGCAGGTCAATGTGGTGCGGAGGGAGTGTGAGATTGTGAGTATCGGAGGCCTTGGGGCCCAGGGGCGCCCTTCGAGACAAGGGCCCCCGTGACGGCCTCTCCTTCCCACCCGCCAGAAACTGGAGGCGGCCAACTTTGATGAAAAGAAGGAGATCAACAAGCGGAAGCAGCTGATCCTGGAGGGGAAGGTGAGGGCTGAGCTGGCAGGGGGAGGGGAAGGGTTTCCAGGAGGCCGATTGCCCAGCTCAGCCACCTCCCGGTGTCCCCCCTGCCAGGACCCCGACCTGGAGGCCAAACGGAAGGCTGAGCTGGCCAAGATCAAGCAGAAGAACCGGCGCTTCAAGGAGAAGGTGGAGCGGGTGCTGCAGCGGCAGAAGGGTGGCGGGGCGGGCCGCAGGGGGCGTCCACCCAGGGCCCCCCCTGAAGGCCACTCGGCCCCAGCACCCACCCAGGACCAGTCCTGAGCCCTGTGTGGCCCCCGCCTGGCCAGCCTGGGATTCCTTCATGGAACCAAGGGTCAGAGGGGTCCTCCCCTCCCCCGGACCTGCTGTGTCCCTGTCGTTGGAACCCATGGACACCCACGTGGTGCACCGCACGGCTCTTCCCGCCCTGCGGCCCCTTCTCAGAGCCTCTGCCAAGAGCCAGGCTGCAGAGGAGAAAAGAATACCAGCTACAGAGTTGAGCTCAACTCCACACACAGTGACCCGGCTTCAGGGTCACCTCGGCAGGGGGTGGGGATTGCCATGGGGCCCCGAAGCCAAGATGTGTTGGTTGTACGAGTCACTAAATAAATGGGTCTCTCCACTTCCCCATCCGACTCTGTGGGAGTGGGGGCAGGGGAGGAGGGTTCAGCTGCTGGTGCTTCCCAAGTCCCCTAGAGCATCATGTCGCCCCCACCACACCCCCAGTTCTCCATTCCCATCAGGCCAGGCCCAAAGCTTTGAACTACAGTGCTGGCCATTCTCGCCAGGTGACCCTGGGTTTGAGAAGCCCTCTCTGAACCTCAGTTCCCTCATCTGGAAAATGGGCACACCAATGGCACCCCTCTCCAAACACAGCCATCAGGTTCAGTGAAATGACTCCCATGTGTAGTGAACACTACCATGTTCTAGGAGCTTCTCTATCTGCTCACCTGGTGGGATTTGGGGTTTCTAGCCAGAGTAAAGGAGGGGGGGGGTGCTTAACCAAGGGCCACCTAAGGGCAAACCGGTCCAGACGGGAGTTGAGCCCGGGGTGGGTAGGGACAGCTATGCTGGGCAGAGCCAGGCTCCTGGCTGTGTGGCCTGGGCATGCTCGTCAGGCTCTGAAACTCCCTCCCCTCACTGGCAAGTGGTTTACTAAGCCCTACACAGCCTGAAGGCGGCTGAGGTGCGTCGCAGAGGAAGCAGGTAGAGGGGTCCAGGGACGGCGGTTAGATGCTTGGGTGCCCACACAACACACACAGGCACAGCCACTCTTAGAAATGTAATGTGGGCACCAGCACGCGCCCTGGGGATTCTAGAAATTCTACACAACGAAAAGCCCCAAAACAGCCCCTGAGCTGCGAGCGGCCAGGGCCAGCTGAGGCATTATGGCCAGGCCCTCCCCGGGGCTGAGTTAGGCCCCCAGTCCCTGCCAGGGTGAATGGCCCACTGTGCCGCCTGCGGCCCGCCTCGTGCCCCAGGCGGGAATCCTGCGTATAAAACCAGCTCCTGCAGGCCCCGGCTCCCACGCAGACCCCGCAGCCAGGTTCAGGGCGTGCCCTCTGCCAGGCGGGCTAGGCCCTCCCGCAGCTCGCTCAGCTCAAACAGCCTGACGTCCAGCAGCTGTGCGGCCCGGCCCACCTCAGCCCGTGCCCGTTCCCGCTCGGCCCGCGCCTCTTCCAAGCTGCGCTCCGTTGCCCGCAGCTGGTGCTCCAGCTCGGCATTGCGGGTCTCCAGGTCCTGCAGGGAGACGATAGGCAGGATTTGAGGCCCCAACAAGCCTTAAGGGTCATCAGCCCTGCCTGGGGCATCCAGCCTCTGAGTGTCATCCCATCAGACCCCACTCTGGGCCATGCCTTAGTCTCTTATCCTCCCTCCAGCTTCTGCCCAAGACACTCCATGGGGCCCTTGGCCAATCTGAATGTCATGGAACTGATCACATCCCTCTTCTGCTCAAAACCCTCCTGTGACCCCATTAGGCTGGGAACAAACTCCACTCCCCTCCTTCCTCTCCTTATTCATTCCAACTCAGCCTCGCTGGCTTCCTTGTGGGTCCTTGACTATACTGAGCGTCTCCCCACCTCAGGGTCTTTGCACATGCCGTGCACTCTGCCCAGGAGGCAAGAGGGAGCATTTCCCCAACTTCTCTCTTCTGGGTCACTAGAGCCTTTGACATCTTCACCTGCAGGACTCAGAACATGTCCCGTGAACATTTCTCAGATAAATTCTTCAATGAAAGCCAGGCCAGGGGCGCCTGGGTGGCTCAGTTAAGCATCCAACTTCGGCTCAGGTCATGATCTCAGGGTTTGTGAATTCCAGCCCCACATCAGGCTCCCTGCTGTCAGCCAGCAGCCTGCTTCGAATCCTGTCTCCCTCTCTCTCCCCTCCCCCAAACTCTCTCATGCACTCTTTCTCTCAAAATTAAATGAACATAAAAAAAAAAAAAAAAAAAAAAAAAAAAAGCCAGGCTAGTCAGACTTGGGTTCAAATGCAGTCTCCTGATCTCAGGCTGGGGATGTGTGAGGACTTGATGGGGTTCAGCAGGGACTCAAAAACGGCTTGTTGAATGAAAGAATGTGAAAAACTGTGCCGATGATCATCCTTTCCAAAACACTGGCTGCAACTGAGGCTTTCCATGCACCTGGTCGTCCCAATCCTTCACAACCTTAGGTAACTGTCTTCCTGATCCCACCTACGGGTGAACAAACAGGCTCGGGGAGGCACATAGCTGCCCAGGACCCATTGGGAAGGAAAGATCCCAGGTCTGTCCCACCCCCGGGGGCTGGCTGGCTCTCGACAGGCACCCCACACCCCCCAACCCCCCGCAACGACACACACCTGCACCTTCTGCTGTGTCTCCTCGCGCTCGGTGGCGTCCAGGGCGTCGCGGGCCCCACCGGTCTGACTCTTCAGTGTCTGGATCTCCTAGAGAAGAGTTCCCAGGGTCTCTTCTGGGGTTCCTGGCTCCCTCGTGAGGGGTCAGGGAAGGTGAAGCCCAGGGACACGCACTCAGCCCTCACCTGGTCCTTGGTTTGCACTAGCGCCTCCAGCTGCTCCAGTGACTGGCCTGGCCCTTCCTTCTCACTGACTGAGGGTGGCTCCGCGGCTGCCTGGGCCTCCAGCTCTGCTACCTGTGTGGACAGGCATGTCAGCCCCTGAGACCCCCAGCCTGCGCTCTCCTGACCCCCGGGGAATCTGCCCCTTGCTCAGGCACACCTGTGACTAGGTACTCATCCCCTCTGATTCAGGCTACCAACTTGAGGCAGGCAGGACTTCAGGGTTTGACAAAGAGTGACATGATCTCAAACCCGTACTACAGAACAAGAAACTGAGGCTCAGGGGAACAGCCTTGAGATCACACATCCAGTCAGTGAACCCAGGACGGAGGCAGGGGCTCCACAGTTGCCCGGGGCCACTGAGCGTCTCTGGGAGGGAGGGGTCCCCTCACCCGCTGCCGCAGCCTTTCGGCCTCTGCACGCTGGGCCTCCAGCTGCTGCCTCCACTGGGCGGCGGCGGCGTTGGCTTCTCGCAGGGCGCCCGCCAACTTGTTGTTGCTGTCCTGCAGCGCGAAGAACTCGGCCTCCCACTGCACCTCGCCCACGGAGCTGCAGGGACGCGAGGGTTGGCTGGGGCGAGGCTGGGCAGCACTGCGTTTGGGGGCAGGGCAGGACGGTGCCGGAGGCGGGACGGTGCTGGGGGCGGGGCCGTGGGTGGGGACTTCGCGGGGTAGCGTGATCTCGTCGGGGGCGAGGTGAAAGTAGGTGCCTGGTGTCGGCTCAGGGAGACAGACGGAATGGGGAGCGGGGTCAGCCCATCGGGGTGTGCTCAGAACGGGGTGAGGGTGGGGAGGCACCCGGGGGTTTAGAATTTGGCCGGGGAGGCGTAAAAGAGGCAGGGTTAGCCCCGAGGAGCCGGCGAGGTAGGGGCAGGGTCCGCCCCGAGAGGGCGTGGTCAAAGCGGGAGCCCGTTCCAGGGGCGAGGTCGGCTCCAGAAGGGGCAGGATCGGAGTCAGCCGCCTCTCCTTCCCCCCGGCCTTGGGTACACAGATCCCGCCGCCCTTCGACTTCAGAGAAGTCCCTCTCCGTGCCAGTAGTCCTGCCACGCCCTATGCCCGGCCCTACCCCCTCACCCCTCGGACAGCATCTTCTTGAGCCGCTCGCGCTCTGCGGGGCCGGGGACGTCCGCGCTCTGGCTACGGAACAGTTTCTCGTCGCCGGGGCCGTTGGCGCTGACGAGAGGACTTGGGGGCACCTAAAGGCGTGGGCAGAAGCGGGGTCACACTGGGGGGGGGGGTGGCTTCAGCCAAGGACCAGTCAGGTCATGGCTGGGGTCAGGGCTGATGTTACTGGGGTTGTGACTGAGGACAGGGGTCCTTTCCAGCACTGGGATGGGAGCGCGCCCCTCCTCTCCTCTTCCACCCTCTCTGGCTCCCCATGGTCCCTGGACCAGAGTTCTGAGCACCGTACCCCCACCTTGCCTGCCTGGGCTCTCACCAAGCTCCCAGGAGCGCACTTGATGCCTGCTGGTCTAAATAAACCCACTGAGATATTCAAAATCTGCAAGGGGGGTGGGGGCAATGTGAAATCTCTATGCTATTCCTTCACAGCAATGCCCTTCCCTGGGGCCAAATTTCAACATGCTTTTAAGATTCTGACAGGAAGCCTTCTACTAGGCTGAATTCATTATAAATCCCCCTCCCAGCCTGGACCATGAGCCCTGAGGGCAGGGACCAGCCTACTTTTTCAACTCCCTAACCCTCTTTCCCACACAGTAGGTGGTCAGTAGATCATGCTGAATAAATTAATAGGGGAAAGTGCCCCAGGGACAATTTTTTTACTCTACCCTCTACTTAGGCATTTCAACCGTCAGGTTTTTACTCTGCCATCTAAGCTGACTTCTTTTCCTTCCTCCCTTCCTCCCTCCCTCCCTCCCTCCCTTCCTTCCTTAATGTTTATTTTTGATAGAGAGTGCGAGTGGGGAAGGAGCAGAGACAGAGGGGGACAGAGGATCCAAAGCGGGCTCTGTGCGACAGCAGCAAGCCTGACGAGGGGTTTGAACTTGCGAACCCTGAGATCATGACCTGAGCTGCAGTCAGACACTCAACCGACTGAGCCACCCAGGTGCCCCAAGCTGGTTTCTAGGCCTCCCCTGATCTAAGGCTAGGCCAGCCATCCAGAATGTGCTCCTGCCACATTTCCTCCAAGGCTTCTGCTACAGGTCTAGCTTTACACAATCTGTGAGCATATGGTCTTGGGCACGCGCACAGCACCTGGACCCTCAATAGCAGTTGAGTGACCGGCAGGCATGGGACAAGGAGTGCTGACCTGGTGGGAAGTGAGTCCCAGGGCTGGACTGGTGAGCTCCCCGCCATCCTGAGATTTCTCCCTTGCCAGCCTCGCTGCTTCCTTTACTTCCTGGAACTTCTCAGCAAACTGGGGTGGGGTTGGGGGAGGGGGGGGGAAAGGCAGAACAAACAATCAAAGAAAACCCAGCCCCCTCTCCCAGAGCCCCATTAGGTCACCCTCACCCCCCACCCCCAGCACCAGCCGTGTCACTATGGAGGCGACTTCAGGAGCATCTCATGAACTAGTTCATCTCATGAACTAGAAGAGTGGTAAGAAGGCTTAGAAAATGTCCCCAGTGATCAGATTGAGTATCATGGCGGAGGGTGGGATGTTCATGCAAGTGTATTACATTGAGGCACCTTGAAAAAGGGATCGATCCCCTATTCCTCTCAGTCAGGCTTATTTCAGCAAGGAGAGCCTCAGGTGAGTGCTGTCTGGAATGCCTGGGACACTTGTGAATATCTTTTTATAACAAAGAGAAAGCAGGTCTTGGGCTCAGAGCCTCTTAGAGGCACCTGTAGCCAGTGGGCAAGTCAATCACCCTTTTCTCATTTTCACTGTACTTATGTTTACATTTACCACTTATACACCAGTTTTCCAGTTGGGGTAGGACACACTCACTGTTTTTCATTTTAAAATAAATTTCCTTAGTGTGAAAATACATTCTTTAAAGAAAATATTTACATACACACAGTCACTCGATTGGAGCAAAGGGTCCAGTGCAATTCATTGCGGTGGGGGGGTAGGGGGAGGGAAGGGGGATGATCTTTTCAAAAAACAGTCTAAGAGCAACTGAATACTCAGTGGGAAAAAATACTCCTACCTTATACCACCCACAGAAATTAATTCAAGACCTAAATTTGAAAGGAAAATTAAAGCTTCTAGAAGAGAAGAAAATCCTCACGATCTCATTAGGAATCAGAAAGCACTAACCATCCAGGGAAACAATGGATGAGACAATACCGAAGCCTAGAGACAGCAGAGGGTGGAGGGAAGCAATGAAGAAGGTAGGGCTAGGGTGTGTGAGGGAACTCTTAGCCCATCCCAGGCACCCAGAGAAGGGTAGGGTGTGTCCAAAATTGGAACAAGTGGCCAGCAGAGCTGAGACATGAGCCAGGGAACCAGGAAGGGACTTCCGGCTTTTTCTGATACCCATTCTACAGCTGGGAAGACTGGAAACCCAGTACCTCCAGGGGCCCCAGTATACCCAGAAGACATAGGCCCAGCTCCATCCCTCCCACCGTGTCATCCTACCAGCCCACCTGGGTCAGATGCTGCTCAGAAGCAAAGCCGAGGCCATAGACAGTGTTGGCACGACTGTCTGCCCACTGTCCAAACTTCTGGGAGGTTTTGGTAAAGGTCATGTTGGGGGTGACAGTGCTGTTGATGATGGCCTGGGGAGAGGTGGGGAGCAAAGTTCAAGGTTGATGAGACTGACGATAATAATGAATAGGAAACCCCCAGTGGATCACTTTGTCTTAGCTCCTCAGAGATCCTTGGTCTGAGCCATTTCGGGAGGGAGACTGATCCAGGGCTCCAACCCCAGCCCCCAGGCGCCCCGCAAGGCAACGACGAGACCCAGGCCTGTTGCTGAGACCCCTTGGGCCTGCCACCCCACCCAGGCCCTGCCAGGACCTTGGCACCCCCAATGCTGATGATTCGGTAGACATTGCGGGTGGCATCATAGAAGTAGGAGACAGTGAGCGCGTGCTTGCCCGCTGGGATCCAGTTCCGCTTGGTGGCCGGGTCAATCTGGAACACGTGCGCCCTTGTGCTGAAGATGGGCTGCTCCCTGCATGGGGAGAGTGTTCTCAGCAGGGCTGGGCATCCCCGGGGTGGGGGTGGGGGTGGGGGGGGGACTCAGGGCCAAGCTGCGGAGGCAGGGACTCACCTGGCTGTGGACATTGGTCAGGCTGGGCTGGGTGGGCTCCAAGAGGCAGTCAGAAGGATGGCAGGAGGTGTGGTTTCAGCCTCTGTGGGGGACAGGGGGCTTGTGAGTGTCTCCCCAGGACAGGCTTAGGGAAACCAAGCGGGTCCAACCTCAGGAAGCACCACCAAATACATACACCATTCATAGAACCTCAGTCAAAAAGGTGAGAGAATCAGCAGATCACCCAGAGCAAAACGGCCCTGGAGGAAGCTCTCACAACACCTTGAGCAGGAGATGGCTCTCTAAGAGGAGCCAGGTGGCCCCTGATAGCCCAGTGTAAACTTCTCAGCATGCTAGGTACTGAAGTCCCAGAGAAACCCCCTCAATCTTGGGGCTGGGTAGAGAAGGGCCAAGGCCAACTCCCGCTTGGGATTTTCTGCCACATTCACTCATCACTCCCCAAACCAGGATCTCTATCAAAATGTAGGGCATCACCAGGTGCCTACTGGGAGACCAGTCCCCCCACCGAACCCACAGAGAGACACCTCGGCTTCCACTCTAGGGCAGACGCACATCTTGGAGTCAAAGTCCAAACCCCCAGGTAGCTCCCAGCCTAGTTAAAAAGATAAGATGTAGCCAAACAAGTTTACTCTGGTGCCAGATGGCCCATGACCACTCAACCCCAATACCATCCATGCAGGGCTGGGTGGGACCAAGGACTGGGAGAGGGGCCTCCCCAGCCTCTCTTGGTTCCTCCAGCCACAACCCCACAGAAAGCAGGAACAGTTGCCCTGGAGAATTCCCGACCCTCACCTCTGTGCCCCCAAAACCTGTACCAGGGGGATCTGTGGAGGATCCAGGAGGGACCTGGCGGAAGGAGGTGGCAAGGTGGGGGAAGGGAGGCCCCAGGGGAGCGGCCTCCTTGGTCAGAGGAGGTATGCCCCCCCACCCTGTCCTGGGCAGCTGCTGCCCCGGTCACAGGGTCTGAAACCGGAGCCCCTGGGTGGGGGAGGGGCGGCAGCTCTGGCCGGGGCTGGGAGCGGGTCCTGGGTCGAAGCAGGGTTCCAGGGTGCAGGGGTCCCAGGAACACAGGCCCTTCCGGCCCTGACAGTCCTGCCGAGACTTGCAGCTTTGGGGAAAGTTACTCACCAACTAGTCACGTGCCTCAGACGCCTCGGGCCGCGGGGCTCCCGAAGGAGGCCCCGACCCCGCCCGGTGCCCAGGATCCCCAATCGCGTGTGGGGGCGAAGCCCCACCCCATGCGTCCCAGTCCGGGGGGCCTGATATTCAGTAAGGAAGCAGTTCCCATCCGCGTCAGAAGCGGGGCGCCCAATGCGCGCCCCAACTTCGGGAAGTGTCACCCTCGACCAGGGAACTTCCGAGACGGGCGCAACGCCCCCCAACTCCGGGTCCAGAACTTCGGGGACACATTCTCCGCCTCCTCCAACGCCAGCCCCAGAACTTCGGGGATCCCTCGCGCCACCTCCGACTGCTAAATTTCGGGGATTCCCTGCCACCCCTCCAGCCTCGGGTCCGGAATTTCGGGATCCCCTCGTGCCGCCTCCCTCTCCCAGGCCCGGAACGTCGGGGACACCGCAGTCTCCTCCAACGCCGGGTCCGGAACTTTGGGAACCCCTCGCACGGTGCCCTCTTCGACCCCGACTCCGGAACTTCGGGGCCCCTGCGCCCTCTCAAGCCCTGGAACTTCGGGGGCTCCCCGAGCCGCACCCAGCCTCCGTGTCCGGAACTTCGGGGACCCCCGCGCCCTCCCCCGGCCCTAGAACCTCGCGGGCCCCCGCGTCCCCGACGCAGGCTCGGACAGCCGGGCTCACCCTGCGGGCTCGGCGCCCCGCGAGTGTCCGGGCGCGAGTCGGGTGCTGCCCCGCGGCGCCGACTCCCCGCAGCCGGGCGCCCCGTTCGCTTGCTGGCTCCGGGGCCCGCGCCCTCCGCGCCGCC